CACACACTTTAACAAGTATTATACTAAGACATGCACACAACACCACTCAGACAACAAATTAACTGTACGATGACTAGTCCATATGATGACATGACTAGTTGAAGAGGACACAGAACTGACACCACATTCATTGTTCCTCAATATCTGTCATTTATCAGTTGTTCGAATTGAAGGAATTACCACGAGGAGTGATCGATTGTGAACAGATGCTAAACACTTATGAATATCATCTCGTTCTATTCTTTCTATCTCACCTACAACAGACAATCAATCGGCAACAAAATAGCTCATTCACTGAATCATCACGTCAGTAAACTGTCTGTGTATATATTACGTGTAATCAAGTGAACGGTTGGTGACGTGAATCAGTGTCTGGCACATTCGCTACTCGGTCGTCTTCACCGGTCGATCGACTTCAGTAGACTCAGAAAAGAGAACTGTTGTGGCAGGATGACTATAGTGAGTTGATCTCGGTTACACACATGTGTGAATATTTAGCAGATTGACTGTGAGAAGTTCACCTCCAGGATGACAGTGGAAACAATGATGTCATGAGCCTGACACAGACAATTTGTCGAGTTCGCTTGTTAGCGTGTATATTAGTCGTGACAATGACACTGTCATCATTGATAGTTGTGATGTTGTTTGGTGATGAATGAAAGTAGCTGTGCAAATAGGTAGGAAACATTTTAGTAGTAGTGTATATGTGATTGTGAGAAATGTGGTTAAGCATGTTGTTAGTTGTGTGGGTTGTTGGATGAGTGATTGTAGTAGTAATGTATATAGAAGTTGGACGGGAGAGAATGAGATGGATGAGGATGGTGCATTGTATGAAGGTGAAATATAATAAGGTGAGTAGTATGGTGTTGTTGTGTGTGTGAGATGGTGAAAAGGAGGCGGTCTTCACGCGCCAACCGGGCTGTCAGATGGACACCATTCACAGGCGCTATCCCGCTACCGCACCACGCGGGGACTTTTGCCTGCTGGGTTTCCCCCCTGGGCCGGTCCGCCCCTCCTTAGACGACCTGGACAACCCATCCTCCGACAGGTCATCCATATCGGCGCCGTGCTTAGCGTGGACGCCCGATCAACATGAGCACCCATATGCCAGAACTCCCGGTCCCACGAAATCCCGCACCCTGGCCTCCAAGTAGCTAGATTACAGGCGCACGCCACCACGCCCAGCCGTACACATCCATTTAACACAATCATTTCATGCTCATTGGACACCATACAGACAACATCATTTACAATTATCACACAACTTCAATCAACAATGTCCACCACAATCAACACAACACACTTTGAGATCGACTCACTACAAGTGCATACGAGATTGAATTCACAATCCATTCAATCCTATCTCACATATGAATGGCAAATGATCACACAAACACACACTTTAACAAGTATTATACTAAGACATGCACACAACACCACTCAGACAACAAATTAACTGTACGATGACTAGTCCATATGATGACATGACTAGTTGAAGAGGACACAGAACTGACACCACATTCATTGTTCCTCAATATCTGTCATTTATCAGTTGTTCGAATTGAAGGAATTACCACGAGGAGTGATCGATTGTGAACAGATGCTAAACACTTATGAATATCATCTCGTTCTATTCTTTCTATCTCACCTACAACAGACAATCAATCGGCAACAAAATAGCTCATTCACTGAATCATCACGTCAGTAAACTGTCTGTGTATATATTACGTGTAATCAAGTGAACGGTTGGTGACGTGAATCAGTGTCTGGCACATTCGCTACTCGGTCGTCTTCACCGGTCGATCGACTTCAGTAGACTCAGAAAAGAGAACTGTTGTGGCAGGATGACTATAGTGAGTTGATCTCGGTTACACACATGTGTGAATATTTAGCAGATTGACTGTGAGAAGTTCACCTCCAGGATGACAGTGGAAACAATGATGTCATGAGCCTGACACAGACAATTTGTCGAGTTCGCTTGTTAGCGTGTATATTAGTCGTGACAATGACACTGTCATCATTGATAGTTGTGATGTTGTTTGGTGATGAATGAAAGTAGCTGTGCAAATAGGTAGGAAACATTTTAGTAGTAGTGTATATGTGATTGTGAGAAATGTGGTTAAGCATGTTGTTAGTTGTGTGGGTTGTTGGATGAGTGATTGTAGTAGTAATGTATATAGAAGTTGGACGGGAGAGAATGAGATGGATGAGGATGGTGCATTGTATGAAGGTGAAATATAATAAGGTGAGTAGTATGGTGTTGTTGTGTGTGTGAGATGGTGAAAAGGAGGCGGTCTTCACGCGCCAACCGGGCTGTCAGATGGACACCATTCACAGGCGCTATCCCGCTACCGCACCACGCGGGGACTTTTGCCTGCTGGGTTTCCCCCCTGGGCCGGTCCGCCCCTCCTTAGACGACCTGGACAACCCATCCTCCGACAGGTCATCCATATCGGCGCCGTGCTTAGCGTGGACGCCCGATCAACATGAGCACCCATATGCCAGAACTCCCGGTCCCACGAAATCCCGCACCCTGGCCTCCAAGTAGCTAGATTACAGGCGCACGCCACCACGCCCAGCCGTACACATCCATTTAACACAATCATTTCATGCTCATTGGACACCATACAGACAACATCATTTACAATTATCACACAACTTCAATCAACAATGTCCACCACAATCAACACAACACACTTTGAGATCGACTCACTACAAGTGCATACGAGATTGAATTCACAATCCATTCAATCCTATCTCACATATGAATGGCAAATGATCACACAAACACACACTTTAACAAGTATTATACTAAGACATGCACACAACACCACTCAGACAACAAATTAACTGTACGATGACTAGTCCATATGATGACATGACTAGTTGAAGAGGACACAGAACTGACACCACATTCATTGTTCCTCAATATCTGTCATTTATCAGTTGTTCGAATTGAAGGAATTACCACGAGGAGTGATCGATTGTGAACAGATGCTAAACACTTATGAATATCATCTCGTTCTATTCTTTCTATCTCACCTACAACAGACAATCAATCGGCAACAAAATAGCTCATTCACTGAATCATCACGTCAGTAAACTGTCTGTGTATATATTACGTGTAATCAAGTGAACGGTTGGTGACGTGAATCAGTGTCTGGCACATTCGCTACTCGGTCGTCTTCACCGGTCGATCGACTTCAGTAGACTCAGAAAAGAGAACTGTTGTGGCAGGATGACTATAGTGAGTTGATCTCGGTTACACACATGTGTGAATATTTAGCAGATTGACTGTGAGAAGTTCACCTCCAGGATGACAGTGGAAACAATGATGTCATGAGCCTGACACAGACAATTTGTCGAGTTCGCTTGTTAGCGTGTATATTAGTCGTGACAATGACACTGTCATCATTGATAGTTGTGATGTTGTTTGGTGATGAATGAAAGTAGCTGTGCAAATAGGTAGGAAACATTTTAGTAGTAGTGTATATGTGATTGTGAGAAATGTGGTTAAGCATGTTGTTAGTTGTGTGGGTTGTTGGATGAGTGATTGTAGTAGTAATGTATATAGAAGTTGGACGGGAGAGAATGAGATGGATGAGGATGGTGCATTGTATGAAGGTGAAATATAATAAGGTGAGTAGTATGGTGTTGTTGTGTGTGTGAGATGGTGAAAAGGAGGCGGTCTTCACGCGCCAACCGGGCTGTCAGATGGACACCATTCACAGGCGCTATCCCGCTACCGCACCACGCGGGGACTTTTGCCTGCTGGGTTTCCCCCCTGGGCCGGTCCGCCCCTCCTTAGACGACCTGGACAACCCATCCTCCGACAGGTCATCCATATCGGCGCCGTGCTTAGCGTGGACGCCCGATCAACATGAGCACCCATATGCCAGAACTCCCGGTCCCACGAAATCCCGCACCCTGGCCTCCAAGTAGCTAGATTACAGGCGCACGCCACCACGCCCAGCCGTACACATCCATTTAACACAATCATTTCATGCTCATTGGACACCATACAGACAACATCATTTACAATTATCACACAACTTCAATCAACAATGTCCACCACAATCAACACAACACACTTTGAGATCGACTCACTACAAGTGCATACGAGATTGAATTCACAATCCATTCAATCCTATCTCACATATGAATGGCAAATGATCACACAAACACACACTTTAACAAGTATTATACTAAGACATGCACACAACACCACTCAGACAACAAATTAACTGTACGATGACTAGTCCATATGATGACATGACTAGTTGAAGAGGACACAGAACTGACACCACATTCATTGTTCCTCAATATCTGTCATTTATCAGTTGTTCGAATTGAAGGAATTACCACGAGGAGTGATCGATTGTGAACAGATGCTAAACACTTATGAATATCATCTCGTTCTATTCTTTCTATCTCACCTACAACAGACAATCAATCGGCAACAAAATAGCTCATTCACTGAATCATCACGTCAGTAAACTGTCTGTGTATATATTACGTGTAATCAAGTGAACGGTTGGTGACGTGAATCAGTGTCTGGCACATTCGCTACTCGGTCGTCTTCACCGGTCGATCGACTTCAGTAGACTCAGAAAAGAGAACTGTTGTGGCAGGATGACTATAGTGAGTTGTTTTCGGTTACATATGTTTTGCATATTTAGCAGTCTTTTGATAGTTGGTTTCCTGCCGGTGCCTGTTTGCACCCCGTTATGTAACCTGGAATATGTGCTTGCGGTTATGTCATCTATATACTTTCCGTGGTTTACTGGTCGCGCGATCAACATCAACAGGGATATGGCACATACTGAATAGAATGCTTTGTATGGTTCGAATTAATTTTTTCAATGTATATGTGAAAATTAGGTACTTTGAATATTTTTATTCGATCACTCGTTTTGTTATGTGATTGTAACATGTAAATTATGCGTACATATGTTGTAATGATTGAGATTTTTCACAGGTCATACAGAAAACGTACACACTGTATGTACAATAATGATTTATTGAATAATAATAATAATATGAAGTGGAACGGTAATAACGAAGGTACACACTTATGAAAATAATAATCATATAAATAAAAGTGATAAAATCTGACACCCGGTAATCTACAGTAGAGTAAAAATTTGTTAGTGTTAGGGGATAGTTTACAAAACTGCACTTATGAAATAGTTGGGTTTTGAATACGAAGCTTTTTGTTTGTACGGAAAAGGAGAATGTTGACAGTTTTGATGGGAGGTTTTGTAGGAGATAATGGGATTTCAATTTTATCCTCCTCGTCATTTTCTTCCTCGTCTTCTTCATCAACTTCCTCCGCGATCTCTTCTTCCTCATCATCATCTATTTTTGATACAGACAAACGCATATACGAAAGATTTAGTACAAATAACCAACATATATTAACAATTAATATGATCATCTTGAAGTAATTAAACCAGAGCTTACCAGGATGGGCGACGCGTACGTGACTTTGCAAAGTCAATTTCGACGTAAACGTTCTATCACACTCAGCGCACTTAATTAATTTAGCTAAAAATAAGATGATACATAGTAAAAAGATGTGAATAATACTTTACTTGGTGCGTGAAATATATAATACAAACTAAAAGTCATAAATTTTTCAACTTAGTGCTTTGTGGTTTGCATCGATGTCAGTTTCTCTATGTAATCTGTTTGTGAATCACGCCAAATGATTTTTGAGTATCTAACATTAATCCATAAGGCCGATAATATGAGAATGAACTAACTGAATTTGAATAGTGGAGACAGTTTATCCACTGATCAGGTAATAAAATGATTACAAGCCTTAAAGGTTTTATGAGAGATTTCGTCAAACGTCAAGCGGAAAAATAGAGTGAAATAAATTTCTAATACTGACTCGATCTCTAATAATCATTAAAAGTAATATCGTGATAAAAACTTAGATTACAAAATCTTAAAAAATCTAGTGACTCTATAAATAAAGCAAACAATACGTTCATAGTTGGGTGCTGGTCCTTCAAAACGTAATACGATAACAGGATTGGAGTCAATTATCGCTTTTTTTGTGAAGGATAGATACAAATTCCCCAACGTTGTGCATAAAAAAAGCGCAATCGTGAATATTGTGTTTATCGGCCAAGATATAATTATTTAACTATACAATTCAAAATGAAGAGTTTGCGAGGTATAAAAGACACGAATTTAATTAATAGAGATTTTCTATTAAATACTGAAGTAATTAATGAAAAGAGAACTACAGTCAATGAATTGAGTCATTGTTAGGTTTGAAGCTTCACGAGTTCAATTAATCTGTGAACGAGAACAAGACTCAGTGACCAAAGACCAGAATTCTAGCTATTGATGCGTTCCAGCCCCGCTACCTAGAAGGAGAAGTCCAAGCTTGGTATGGAAAATATATTCTGAAAACAGCCAGAAAACGAGCGAGCCCACAAGCACAATTTAAAACGCATATATACAAATATATATAAAAGATATTGTCATAGGAGATTCTAAACATTAATCAATGAGTTCATCAATTGACTGCTATTTAATCATTTAATCGATAAGTCAATCGATATGATAAAATTACAAATATGAGTTTTTGGGATATATCGTCCCCAACAGTCATTGATTTGCCAGTCTTGGAAATGAAAAACCCCAGTCTTATAGTTACACTGAATAAGTTAGTAAAAATCTTTGGTGTTCTGTTACTAGGGATTTTTGTGAAAGATAGTACTGATTTATTAACTCTTCGGAATATAGAATAAAGAAACCAGCACATTAAGAAGATAGATTTATCTCGGTATATGACGAAATATACAGTCCAATAATTAAATCACAAACGGTATCCGTTGGATGTTAAGAAAACATGCATTTACTTCTAACCTTCTGATATTCAATTAATAAAAATGAATAATGTACCTATAGAGGTGATGAATTATAATTCAACTGTATGTGGATGGATATTCGCAGTGTACTTACCAGCGTGTACATGTTTGTAATGTATCGCTACATCAGATCTGGAAGCAAAAGATTTGTTGCAGCTAGCACATTTGAATATCAGCCGACCTGAAAATGAATAATTCATGATAAAAAGTAAGTTTAAAAACAGGGTCAGTCGAAATCCATGACAATACACTTTGATAACCTCTAAGCCAATTATTGACTAATAGCAAATTCTGGAGATTAGCTAAAGAAAAATTCGCCATGATGAAAAACTAAATGGAAAGAAATTTCTTCGCTCAATTCGTTCCTTCTTTATTTACCAAAATTCGCCTAATTAGGGACGTAGATTAATTTGATTTTCATCGACTATTGTAATCAGTAATAGGTTTATGAAAGGACGTAAAGTGCATCCTATCATTACAGTATAGTTCGAAAATGCAGCAAAAACTCAGATACACATAGTTGTCTTTTTTAAGTGAGATTATTTAACCTTCAATACATACACAACAAAAAAATCCAAATTAATAATTAGGCTTACCTAAAGGAGGTCTCAATTTATTAGTTTTTCGTGGAACCGGGGAATCATACTGTTGTGGTGAGATTTTCATACCTGGACAAAAACACAGTGAATAAGATCTACATAATATTAAAATAAAAGAAAACCCTAAAAAGTCCAGATCTGTAAACTCTGAAATATATCACAATAAATCAAATGCCGTTATGTTTACTGGTCGACAAAACATAAATAAGCTAAATGGGATGTGGAACACTGACAAGTGTTATTCCACCATCTTATAAAGTCCCAGAGAAAACACTTAGACGAACGGTAATTATGCAGCAAACTGATACAGTAGTTAATAGGAACAAAGCGACAAAAAGTAGTTTCCATAGACATAAACAGTTCATCATTTCCATAGACATAAACAGTTCATCATTTGACGACGTTGTTTACAAAGGTTTCGGATCTAGAGAGTGTACCAACGTCATGGAATGAGTCGATAGTTGTCCCTATCTTTAAAAAGGGTTCACGTCGTTCTTGTAACAACTATCGGGGGATAAGTTTACTTCCGATTGCGTCCAAGCTATTGGCTTCCGTCATTCTTCGTAGGTTGTTCAAAACCCGAGAAAGATTGACTCGCGAGGAGCAGGCTGGGTTTCGTTCTGGTCGAGGATGTATTGATCATATCTTCACCCTCCGCCAAATGTTAGAACACCGCCATACTTTTCAAAGGCCAACAATCGTAGTGTTTCTTGACATCAGGGCTGCCTTCGATTCGTTGGATAGGACTGTTCTCTGGGATTGTCTATTGAAGAAGGGTGTGCCTGAGAAGTTTATTAACATCCTAAAAGCCCTGTATAAAAACACCTCAGGCAGAGTGAGGGCATACAACCACCTCTCTCCATTGTTCTATTCGAGCAGTGGGGTTAGACAGGGTTGCCCAATCTCACCATTCCTCTTCAACTTTGCCATCGATGACATTCTGGAAACAGCTCTGATGAATGTAAGTAATGGTGGTGTGGATCTGTTGCCTGGAGAAAGACTTCTCGACCTTGAGTATGCGGACGATATTGTCTTACTGTGCGATAATGCCCAAGGCATGCAATCCGCACTTAATCAGTTGGCAATCAGTGTCCGTAGGTATGGTATGTGCTTTGCACCTTCGAAGTGCAAAGTACTTCTACAAGACTGGCAGGATCCCAATCCTGTACTCACCCTGGATGGTGAGCAGATAGACGTAGTTGAGAAGTTCGTGTATCTGGGTAGCTGCATAAGTGCTGGTGGAGATGTGAGTGATGAGATCAATGCACGAATAGTGAAAGCCAGAGCGGCTTATGCCAATCTGGGCCATCTATGGCGCCTTCGTGATGTCAGTCTGGCTGTAAAAGGCCGGATCTACAACGCGTCGGTGAGAGCAGTTTTGCTCTATGCTTGTGAAACCTGGCCTCTCCGAGTTGAGGACGTTAGACGACTCTCTGTGTTTGATCATCGCTGTCTCCGAAGGATTGCTGACATTCAGTGGCAACACCATGTTAGTAATGCAGAGGTTCGGCATCGTGTGTTCGGGCACAGAGATGATAACTCAATTGGTGTCACCATCTTGAAACACCGACTTCGGTGGCTTGGACATGTTCTCCGAATGTCGTCCCAGAGAATTCCACGTCGTGCATTATTTGCCGACTCTGGGACTGGTTGGAAGAAGCGGAGAGGTGGTCAGTGCATGACATGGTGTCGTGGCATGAAAGAAAGCTGCAAAGGACTGGCTTGTGTTGGTCCTTCACGACTCCCTGGCTGGGGTCCGAGAGATGGTGCAACACAGTGGCTAGAGACGTTATCAGATATGGCTCAGAATAGAAGCCAGTGGCGATCCTGCTGTAACCTTCTTTTACTTTCTTCATAAAAAGTGGTTGTGTCTCCTTTACCTGAAAGATTTCTTCTGATTGTACCTCTTCGTCATTACTCTCTTTTTCTTTTGCGTTCCTTAGTTTTTTTTTTTCTTTCTACTTCTCTTCGAATTCCCATTGCTTTGTGTGGCGCATATATATTGGCGCTCTCTTGTACCAATATTTATGTGTTCAAATAAATAAAATAATAGGAACAAACATTAGAACTATTTACAAACGTTCTAGTTAAAAATAACGTGTCTTATAAAATTAATGAGATCGAATTGAAGCACGCTTTGATGATGCGAGTTTGTGATTTTTAACTACATACTGACGGCTTTATACGGACTAAATTCAGTTACTGGGAATGCTAATACATGATCACTGAGCCGTTATTAATGAAATAAACTTCGATTCGTAGCGAGCAACAGTACGATAAGTGAACAAATAGGTAAAACGATCTAGGCTAACAAAAGGCCATCCTGGTGAGCTGCTTATAATATCCTACAAACATTTGCATATTATTTCATTGGAATGTAGACGGACATAAAAAAGATGAATCTCTTACAAAAATTTGTTCACTAAATGTGAATTGTCACCGAGTAAAATGTCCCTGAATTTACTGCATCTGAAGTTTCCAGTCAACGAGTTGGTATTATTCGATATGTGAGTTAAAAAATGTAAGAGCCAACAATTTCCAAAGTGTGTATGTGTTGACATACATCTGCCGTTTATACTAAAGATTTCGAAAACTAACCTTTGTGTCGAGTTTCTTGATGTCTTCTGAAAATGCTTCCAGACAAGAAGAAATCGCCACATTGTTCACATTTGACCATTCTCTCTAAAATAGAAAGCCGGATGAACAAACGAAAACTACACTCGAAGATTGGGCTAATTCATGAAAAACGGTAACTCATAATGACAGACTTGATTTACGGAAATTAAAATACACAAATACTTCAAATGATGTTGCTTAGGTAATAGGAAATGAGGTCTGTGCACAACGCATTAAGTATAGACAATCTGTCTTTAGACAGATGAAAATTTTTGACACGGGGATTGAAGTTGATAGCTTATGGTAAAGACGACTGGGAGTATTAGAGTACCGAAAATAGAAACGTTAAAGCATTCGTTTAGTTTGCATGTCTATTATTATGGGTACAAGTGAACCAGATTTACCTTTGTATATATGTAAAGCAGCAGTAAAGAGGAAAGAATTCAATGTGTTAAAGCGCTCCTTCACAGAAAATTTTAACTGTAGGTGGTAAGATTAAGTTAAGAATCACAGAATTTAACAAATCAAGCAAGCATACATGACGGGTTTCATAAACAGCTGACACATATTATAAAACCAATCAAATTTAACAATTGACAGAAAGAAAAAAATTAATATAGCAATCTGTAGTCGGAAAAGCTATTGATAAAAGTACGATCAACGGAACAGATATCTGAAAATATTAAAACAAAAATATAATGGTAAAATAATAACTTACTCCCATGAACCTGTTGTACATGAGCGTGAAGATAAACTCGCAATGCAAATGTCCTGGAGCATACATCGCACTGAAATGACTGAACTGTAAAATAAAACAGGAAATAATTTTAATTGGCATCTCATTACAAATAAAGTTATGATATTCTTCTAAATATCTGATCATATTTAACGAAAAGTAGGAATACATACAACAAATATTTAGAAAAATTAAACTACACATGACTACAAGCCACAGACTTCAGTACTAACACCTGAGGAAGCTCAATGATCAAAGAATGTCTACGAAAGCAGTCAACAATAGTCATAATATGGGGAGTACAGTCAACCTTAATACTTTAATATTGACGAGGAACAAACAACATTGTAAATGTTTCTAACTATTGAAGTACCATGAATAACAATTTTGTTATTAGCTTCTGTTACTCAAACTATTGGAGGTACTTTCAGAAACACTAATTACTATGAGCAATGAATAGAAACCTGTGTCAACACAAACTAGAAGCCAAAAACGAGTACTGATAGGGAAATGAATTAGGGCTTTTTAAAGTTTCAAGTAGTAGTTATCCGAAATGGTGTGATATTGATTACTTATGTTATTAAATCTGAATTCTATTTTCAACCCCCCATGTTTATTTATTTGGTGTTCCAATTTATACTGCTTATTAATAAGAAGTAGTCTGGTTCGTAACCAAGCATTCCTAAGGTCAACTAGACGACATTAAATTTATAATACAGGGTTATTTGTTTTATCTGTTTGTACGCTCAATTCAGTGGGTCAACTTTATTTTCTACTTGTCATAAATCACTTTCTCAGCCCTGTATTCCTATTCACTATATACGTTACTCTTAAAAACTATTTATTTTGAACTAATTGCTATTAAATAACCATACTTTTAAGAAAACCTGGGTATGGATTTCATATGTTAGGAAAGTTTAACAAAAAGGTTTGTATGTGCTTAATATCAATGAACCCGTTACTACATATTATTGACTTTTTTGCTGTTTGAAAGCCTAACTGTTGTTTTTGGAATTATTTGGGTTATCTGTTATGGACAAAAACAATTTTAAGCGGGCAATAAGGAATTTAGGGTATAAAGTACAGTTACCACATTGACACCAAATATATGAAACTATACTCACCATCATGGACAAGATGAATGTGATACCACAAACCGGATCTTGAGGTGAAGGAACGATCACAAGAAGGACAGTCGAATAATCTTCCTATATAACAAAAAATAACAGAAAAATAAAAAACAAATAATAACAATTATCACTGAGTACAAGACTATTGGAGTTTGTTTATTGAATTCTGATCCTGATAGCTAACTAGTGAAGTACAACATTTAAGATCAGATTTACGAAAAGCTCTCGATCGCGCTAAAAAACATTTACGGATAAGGTTACGATTACTAAGTGAATTGAAGGATCAAGTAGGGAGATAGACATATGCAAGAGGGAGAATTGAGAATATCTTCGATATTCCGCTAAGGTGATCATCATAAGTGTTAGTTATGTTCACAATTAACCAATCAAATCAACACTTAAACGCCCACCAAGCCGCTCTGGTCTGATGTGTCTATAGACTATCCCTATTGCATGTGACCTGCCAATTGAAGGGCGTTATTATCCTATTATATTAGAGTGACTCATAATTTTTATTCACTTCGATAAGACACGCAATACTGGTCAAAACAGATCAAGTTGAAGACCAAGTTGTCCTTGTTCTGACTATAGCTTCCACACACGCTGGGTCGTCAGTACCATGTTTACAGTTCCGGTAGAATATCTGTAGGAGAAATTAAATCCTATAGTAAGAGATCAGTCAGCCTCTTAAACTCCACCTGTGGCTCATGTAGGGTTGACGTTGATCCAAAGACCAGGCAAAGGAGGGTTGGATATGAAGTCAGTAATCCCATCCCCCAAAAAGCAACCTTGCTAAAAAAAAACACTAACCAGAATAAACAAATTAAACCATCTAAACCATGCCCTCCGAGGGGACGGATTTTATTACAAAAAAACAATGACACATGGTGAAAGCCGAGATTCTTCGAAGTCACTAGGCCGATGCTCCTTCAAACAACCACAGCAACAACTAATATACGTACACGGAATTTCCAGGCAATACAGGCGATCAGGAGGACCAGACAAATAGCAGCGGAAGCGAGGAGATATAATTTACAGGTTTGTCGAATAAGTGAAACACATTGGACCCAAGCTAGATAGAAAACGATATATTTAGGAGAGATCCGGAATATATGTGAAAAAAACCATGGCTGGAAGTCACATCACCTAAAAAGTGTAGTTGGTACACGATGGCCAAACTTGCTAAACGATTGTTTCCGCATATTAAACAAACAGAAAATTGAAGACGGAATTTCTCCACTACTGTTGCACGAGGATGCGGATATACTGGTTTATTCATATTTGGTAAAAGCTGGGACTTTGTCGAACTACTTCAGCAACGTCACCTCTGGGGGTGTTATAACAACATTTCCCGTAACCACACTACTGAGATATCAGCTATAGGACCAGTAGGCGCGACTAAAGGAGCTGTTACTCACCTACTCACTAACCTCAGACCTAGTTAGACACCTGGTCCTGATAAGTACACCCATGAATCCAGTCGTACCTCGCGAACATTACTTCAAAAGAGCTCACGATGATTTAACATGTACCTTCACTAGACTCGTCTTCCTTCGGATGGGAAGAGTGCTATAGTTTGTCTTGTATTTAAGTGTGAAAGGAGACAGATCCTGTCTCATTACCGACCTATCAGTCTAGCTAGAGTAGTAGTCAAGTTATTTGAAAAAGTAGATTCACCCCAATTTTAAGACATGTAGATCCACGTAACCGGTCAACTATTGAGCTACACTAGTTTCGGAATGAATGTTCACACTTAATTAACTTATTAACTAAGGGGGAGGATTAAAAAATTAGCGCCGGATAATGGGCTGTCTGCTGATGTGATATTCACAACTTATTTGCACAAGGGTCTAATTGGTCGTCCGCGAAATATATCTGTCTACTCATTTAAACAAATTCCGGTACACGTTATCCTGACGGGCTTTTGTCCTACAATTTCAAACTATAAAAATGAATACCAGAGTCACGATATAGTGAACGCAAAGAACAAGATTGAATAAAAACAGCATTCGAAAAGAAATTTTTCTCACATATCATTATTACTAGCATTAATTCTACAATATGCTGTACTGCACATAATTTCTATGCTCTGCACTATGTTCCGCCACAAACGCATACACAAAGCTACATGGATCCCACCGCAAAACAATACAGAGAGTTAGATCAATTGCATGTGCATCACTAAAAAATTCTGAAGGTCAATGGAAGGCGTGAGAACCAGGAGAGGAGGATAATGTTGACAATCTTCTCAGGAACTCCGTAGTGTCGAAGAAGTTTCCATAACGTTCTCCTATCTACACTGTCAAACGCCTTTTCATAATCAATGAAGTTGATGTACAGTGACGAGTTCCATTCAACTGATTGTTCGACAATGATCCGCAGTGTCGCAATTCGGTCTGTGCACGACCGTTCCTTACGGAGTCCAGCTTGCTGATATCGAAGTTGGGCGTCTACTGCATCTTTCATCCGGTTCAGCAAAACTCTGTTAAAGACTTTTCCTGGTACTGACAGTAGTGTAATGCCTCTGTAGTTTTCACATTTGCTCAGGTCTCCTTTCTTTGGAATCTTGATGAGGTGTCCTTCTTTCCAGTCCATCGGCACTTGTTCCTCCTCCCAAATCTTTTTGAATAGAAGGTGAAGCATGTTTGTATTTACTTCGATGTCTGACTTCAGTGCCTCAGCTGGTATATTGTCGGGTCCTGCTGCTTTCCCGCTCTTGATTTGTCTGATGGTCATTCTGATTTCTTCCGTCGTTGGTGGATTGGTACAGGAGAGCGCCAATATATATGCGCCACACAAAACAATAAAAATTCGAGAGGAATACAAAGAAAGAAAAAAAAGCAAAGGAGCGCAACAAAAAAAAGAGAGAACAATAACGAAGAGACTGGTGTAAGGTAATGTGCTAGTAATCACGGAACGCAAAGGTACAATCGGAAGAAATCTTTCAGGTAAGGGAGACAGAACCACTTTTTAAGAAGAAAGTAAAAGAAGGTTACAGCAGGATCGCCACTGGCTTCTATTCTGAGCCATATCTGATGACGTCTCTAGCCACTGTGTAGCACCATCTCTTAGACCCCAACCAGGGAGTCGTGAAGGACCAACACAAGCCAGTCCTTTGCAGCTTTCTTTCATGCCACGACACCATGTCATACACTGACCACCTCTCCGCTTTTTCCAACCAGTCCCAGAGTCGGCAAATAATGCACGACGTGGAATTCTCTGGGACGACATTCGTAGAACATGTCCAAGCCACCGAAGTCGGTGTTTCAAGATGGTGACACCAATTGAATTATCATCTCTGTGTCCGAACACACGATGCCGAACCTCTGCATTACTAACATGGTGTTGCCACTGAATGTCAGCAATCCTTCGGAGACAGCGACGATCGAACACAGAGAGTCATCTAACGTCCTCAACTCGGAGAGGCCAGGTTTCACAAGCATAGAGCAAAACTGCTCTCACCGACGCATTGTAGATCCGACCTTCTACGGCCAGACTGACATCACGAAGGCGCCGAAGATGGCCCAGATTGGCATAAGCCGCTCTGGCTTTCACTATTCGTGCATTGATCTCATCACTCACATCTCCACCAGCACTTATACAGCTACCCAGATACACGAACTTCTCGACTACTTCTATCTGCTCACCATCCAGGGTGAGTACAGGATTGGAATCCTGCCAGTCTTGTAGGAGTACTTTGCACTTCGAAGGTGCAAAGCACATACCATACCTACGGACACTGATTGCCAACTGATTAAGTGCGGATTGCATGCCTTGGGCATTATCGCACAGTAAGACAATATCGTCCGCATACTCAAGGTCGAGAAGTCTTTCTCCAGGCAACAGATCCACACCACCATTACTTACATTCATCAGAGCTGTTTCCAGAATGTCATCGATGGCAAAGTTGAAGAGGAATGGTGAGATTGGGCAACCCTGTCTAACCCCACTGCTCGAATAGAACAATGGAGAGAGGTGGTTGTATGCCCTCACTCTGCCTGAGGTATTTGTATATAGGGCTTTTAGGATGTTAATAAACTTCTCAGGCACACCCTTCTTCAATAGACAATCCCAGAGAACAGTCCTGTCCAACGAATCGAAGGCAGCCCTGATGTCAAGAAACACTACGATCGTTGGCCTTTGAAAAGTATGGCGGTGTTCTAACATTTGGCGGAGGGTGAAGATATGATCAATACATCCTCGACCAGAACGAAACCCAGCCTGCTCCTCGCGAGTCAATCTTTCTCGGGTTTTGAACAACCTGCGAATTATGGCGGAAGCCAATAGCTTGGACGCAATCGGAAGTAGACTTATCCCCCGATAGTTGTTACAAAAACGACGTGAACCCTTTTTAAAGTAAGTGTGTAGGTAAGTAAAGTAAAGTAAGTACGTTTTGAACAACCTACGAAGTATGACGGAAGTCAAAGGCATTTCATATAACATGAGATATTGATAAAATGCATACGAATGAAAGTATTAAAAGAAATTTGGTTTAATTACCTTTATCTAAGCAGATATCATTATTTTGTGTCTCATGTTGTGAAGCAGGAGTTAAAATACTACTTATCCCCCGATAGTTGTTACAGGAACGACGTGAACCCTTTTTAAAAATAGGGACAACTATCGACTCATTCCATGACGTTGGCACACTCTCTAGTTCCCAAACCTTTGTAAACAACGTCGTCAATTCCTTAGTCAAAAAGTCACCACCATCTTTAAAAAGAGCCGGAGGTAAGTCATCTGGGCCAGGTGATTTGTAACGCTTCAAGAGTTGGAGTTCCTTGCGGAGTTCCTCCTCGTTTGGTGGATCAGTCGTCACCGGCCATGGAGGGCGCTTCGACCACCAGGCTTCTCGGTCCTTACGCAAGCTTTGCCCGATTTCATTACATAACATCTTTCGTTTATGGTCAAACTCACGGTCACCCGGAGTAGACCGACGAGCTTCAATGAGTTGTAAGGAACCAGAAGAAACCCAGTGCTTAAAAGCGGGACGTTTCGCAAACCCACAACTGACTGTTCCCGCCATTTTCATGGCGTCATGCAATTGCAACCAATGCTCATCTATACTTTTCGGTGGAGTGGTAGCTAGCCTAGAGGCTAGCTCGGTTCGATACTTATTTGTAACAGAAGTTGCAACCAGCTTGCTAACATCAATCTTTTGGTTGCGGTCACTTCGTTGTCCACTGAAAAGTAAGGCAAGATTGGCGCAGACCAAGGCATGGTCAGAGTCCAGATAGGTACTCCAAAAGGAGCGGCAGTCTTTTACACAACCACGCCAGCGGTAGCTGATCGCGATGTGATCAATCTGAGTCCAGGCTTGGCGTCCTCCCCAGGTGGCACATCGACGATGACTGTGTCGAAAGTTAGTGCTAGCCAGAAACAGGTTGTGGTCTGTGCGTAGTTGCAGTAGACGGTCCCCGTTATCTGACCTGCGACCAACGAGTCCCCATCGGCCACCTAAACGACTCTCTTCTGTGCCTAGACGCCCGACATCTATAGGAAGGTCTGTGTGCTCTGCTTCGATGTCCGGTGGATTCATTGGAGCCGGACTATTCAGGAGTTCCTCGAAGTATTCTACCCATCTGTTCCACTGTTCTTGAATTTCAGTGATTGGCCTTCCTTCTTTGTCCTTGACCGGTCTCTCTGGTTTACTGTATTTCCCTGCTAGTTTCTTCGTTGTATCGTAAAGCTGTTTCATATTTCCTTCTCTTGCAACTTTTTCCGCCGTCGTTGCTAGTTCTTCCACGTATTTATTCTTGTCGGCTCTAATGCTTTTCTTCACTTGCTTGTTTACTTCTCTGTATTCAGCTTGTGCTTGAATTTTCTCTGCTTGTGTTCGACTGTTGTTAATAGCTGTCTTCTTGTTCTTCCTTTCTTTGACCTTGTCCAGTGTTTCTATGGAGATCCATTCCTTATGATGGTGCTTCTTTAGACCCAGAACCTCTTGATACGTTGAAGTTAATGCTTTTTGATACTTTCCCAGTTGTCCTCCATAGTAGTTTCTTCTTCCTTCAGTAGATCCTGTAAGGCTTGGAACCTGCTGTTGAGAGCTATCTTGAATTCGTTGATTTTGTTAGTATCTCGAAGAAAGGCTGTGTCGAACCTTTGTAGTGCTGTTTGTCCAGATGTCCAGTTTTTCTTTAGCTTCAGTTTTAAATTGGCCACAACTAGGTGGTGATCTGAAGCTATATCAGCTCCTCTCCTGGTTCTCACATCTTCCATTGTCCTTCAGAATTTTTTATTGATGCAGATATAATCTATCTGGTTCTCTGTAATTTGGTCTGGTGAGATCCATGTAGCTTTGTGTATACGTTTGTGTGGAAATATTGTGCCTCCTATGACCAATTTGTTGAATGCACATAGATTTGCAAATCTTTCTCCATTTTCGTTTCTCTCACCCAGTCCATGTCGTCCCATGATATCTTCATATCCGGTGTTGTCTATTCCAACTTTGGCATTTAGATCTCCCATCAGAATGATGAGGTCCTTTCTTGGGCACTTCTCTATGATTAACTGCAGCCGCTCGTAAAATTGATCTTTAATGTCGTCGTTGCTATCATTGGTGGGTGCATAACATTGGATAATATTCATTGTGATCCCCTCCTTTTTTGTTTTGAATGATGCTTTGATGATTCTGGATTCGTGACATTCCCATCCTACAAGTGCATTTCGTGCTACTTTGGACAGCATTAGGGCAACTCCCTGAGTGTGTGGAGCATTCTCCTCTTCATGACCGGAGTATAGTAGCATCTCCCCCGTATTTAGCCTTTGTTGTCCAGCTTGGGTCCCATGGGTTTCGCTGATTCCCAGTACTGCCAAGTTGTATCTCCTCATTTCCGTTGTTATTTGACTGGTCTTCCCAGTCTCTCACATTGTCCGGACATTTCATGTACCTATAAAAATTGTTGCACTGGTTGTTAGAAGAGGCATCGGCCTCGTGACCACCGATGGAACTCGGCTTTCATCAATAGGCGTCATAGTTCTTCTAAACGAAGACCTTCTAACTCCCGGAGCAGAGTTTAAATGGCTTGAATTATTTCGTTCTGGTTAGCGTCTTTTTAGTGAGTTAGTTGTCAACGGGATAGGGTCGCTAAATCAATGCACAACCCTTCTCCTTTACCTGGGCTTGGAGCTGGCAGTAACTCTAGAAGAGCTACAGGCGGGGTTATATCAGAGGAAGCACGAAATATAATGGATAGCTTGGATGCAGCTGGACGAATCCTAAAGAGATAATGAAAAATAGGAGGGCCAAAGAACACATTGCGCCGAAAATTGGAAGCAGACATCAAGAGAATGAATAGTAACTGGAAAGAATTTTCCAAAACAAAGTTCGATGAAAGATACTGGTGGGCGGCCTATGATCCAGCACAAGAACTAACTGGCGTAAGTAAGAGCATCATAGTTTCTCCCTAATAAACGCTAACTATACATCAAAAGATAGACACTTTCACCTTATGTTATCTAAATTCCAAACAAACACAACGACAGGCATACGCTGAAGAAACGATTACTATAGCATATGAAAGCCTTATAGTGTTACAAAATGCAATCAAACCAACTTCTAGGAACTTATATACATTTAAATTAACGTCTAACTGTAGATGATATGAAGAAAATGGAAGAATTAGAACGATACAAGCTTGGAAATTAAAAAAATATGTAGGAAGGATATGTTGTCTGATGAGGTTCTATTGAAATTTCCAAAAGAATGAACAATGCCTTAATTCCTAGAAAAATTATTTGTCTGTTCATAGGGAATATCTGAAGCAGAGCAATGTAAACAAACGTAAAATATTCATAACATGATTTCTAATTTGAAAATATTATCTTTTCACACAACTATCATATTGTAACCAAAATAATGGTGTTTACCTGAAATTTTCTTAGAAATCTAGACAATCAAAGAGTATTTTAAAACAAACAATGAAAAACACAACTAAACAATCATATACTTGCCTCCATGGATACTTTTTTCATGTTTCTTTAGATTACCCAATGAGGCAAACGTTGTGCCACATACTTCACATTTAGCTAATCTTTCTAGAAAAGATTAGGACGAATAAATATAGAGATGAGTAATTAAGGTGACAGAAATATTGAATAAAAAGAAAGTGATCACAAAAATTAATAAGCTTTCAGAATTAGAAGTCTGAGACGACATATAATTCAGTGTTTGCAGGAAACTCAACAGAAATGTATATCCACTATTACTATCCGTGGAACACAATGCACAAACAGCTAAACTAAAAGCAACTGTTAGTTACGCAATAGTATTGATATTTTTTGTAGTTTCTTACCATAAGTATAAAACCTTTAACACTATACAATCAATTCTTTGATTAATTATATAAACATGTCATCACAGATGCAATCATAGGTTAACAAATAAATCTAGAAAACCATTCCTCATTCATCATAATAATAATTCACTTAACAAGGAGATTAATGTATTCGGTTTTGAGTCACATTCATTGTGATGGCTAGCAATACTATCCGGTTTGCTAGACTGAAGTAAGTGAAGCGAGGTTCGAATATCCCGAGTACTTTAAGAACCATCATTAGGTACCGAATGTATTATCAAGAAAAATGATGGCTTATGTAATCAGTCCGCATAAAGCCCCATAAATAATAGAAGCTAAAATGTGGAAATGGTTCTAATAATAAATTATCTATATGTAGCATGTAATCTACATTATGATTAGACCTGTTCCCGATTACGTTTTCAAATAGGATCTGTTGCTCTACGAGTTTGAGGACACAGTTGAAAAAACCAATGTGTATTTGTAAAATGTTGGCAGTGACCATAATAAAACAGAATCCGAATAAAGCCATAACAACAACTAAGACAGAATAATATAAACTCATCCTATTTTATGGTCTCTTCAGCTGCTTACAACTGTATTTGTATAATATAATATTAAGTAGTAGACATTAGTGACTGAAAAATTAAAATGACAACAACTATCAATATTATGTTCATATCTACATGAATAATCGAATGTAAGTTCAGTTGAAGAAAAATATCGAAACGCTAGAGAGGGTGAAACAGTAATTATCTAGGACCCGAAAATTGATAATAACCCCGCCGTCAATTAGATATCGAGCTATTACCATAGGCTATGGCATCTAATCTCAGATTATTTGGTACATGCTCAAAAATACGAACATCCACTGTTCCCTCTGTCCTTCTTATGTATTCGCTGTGGAACGTACGTGTAGATCTATAAATACGATTAAAGGTACCAGGGAAAGAGGACTTGTCTATTTGCGTTTTGCCTCATAGCTTATTAAGCAACCCATCACCAATTTTCCGATTCTAGATAATTGCTGTTTCACCCTCTCTAGCGTTTCGATATTTTTCTTCAACTGAACTTACATTCGATTATTCATGTAGATATGAACATAATATTGATAGTTGTTGTCATTTTAATTTTTCAGTCACTAATGTCTATTACTTAATATTATATTATACAAATACAGTTGTAAGCAGCTGAAGAGACCGTAAAATAGGATGATTTCATATTATTCTGTCTTAGTTGTTGTTATGGCTTACGGGAAAAACTGTACAACATGAAAAGCAAGACGAGAAGCAACACCATAAATCCAAGAATTGTAACCAGGTTACATGAATTCTGCTTTCAATATCTTTAGACACGCTAAACACGTTTCGAATATCAAAACTAAAATATTTGAAACTAGTTGACAAAATAATTGAACTGATTGTGTAATTGCAAATTAATTTCACCAGAACACCAAGTGTAAATTCTACCCCTCATGTATTTTTAATGATTGGTATTAGTTGTTATAATATATAGTGAAAGTAAGCTTAGTAACACTATTACACTACGATTTACTTAGAAGGGGAGAAGTGATGTAATGATGATTGTGTACTGTTCATCACTTAACTATTTGACTGTAGTAAAACAGGAAAATATATAGCTAAACAGATATATAAGCATGATCGTAGAATTCAATAAGATAATTTATTTTGTAAATGAAAAATTTACTTTCATGAACTTGTTGAATATGTGCAATAAGATATTGTTTCAATCTGAAGGTTCTTGAACACTGATCACATGGATAATTTTGTACTATGAAGAAAGAACAAAAGATATTTCTTTTTAAAACACTAAGTAGTAAGTGAGTTAATGAGAAGCACACTACGTGTAGTATTTTCAAAATAAATAAAATTCATAAATAAACATAGTTTATACAACAGTTGGTCATAAATACAACAACAGAATAGATTTTCTATATTTAATGGTTAAATATTACACTGAATAAACTGAAAGTCAGAGTGTTTTACTTTAAGACGAAAAACTGATTTTTTAATCGAATGGAATAAATAAAGACGATCTTGACTGATATATTGTGAATTTTGATAAAGTCCAATGATATTTTACTAATAATATTTTAAGGAAATTTCCAGCTACATGAATTTGTGCATTAAACCGTATATGACGAAGTCTGTTATAATCTCAGTTGTTTTATCCACAACATTAAGTGGGCTATTTTGAAAACAATAAATTTCCACAGAATCACTTCAAACATTCTACATAGATAGTTAGTCGTATCGTGCAAAAGAAAGGGAATATGGTTTATGAGGATTCAGTTGGCTCAGAAGTTTGGGTGCGTCAAGCTAACCGTCTGAAAACAACTTCGATGGCCAGTAACGAGACCCAACATAGAATACCTCTTGACGTTCTGGTGGACACCTTTAAAATCAAAAACCCTTGAAACAGATGGACTAGTCTCTACGCAAGCAAAGAGTGATACCACTTTTTTATAGCCTAGAAGATGGATAAATCGAAAGCACAGACCAGACACGGTTTCAGGTGAACCCTAACGCCAGATCCTACGAATCTGTTTAAAGGGGAGGTTTTAACGTGATATAGATTGGACTGAAGTATGTTCCGCGCAGGATTGTGTTAGGGCACGCTGAGTGGCTATATCTTTACCAATCAGCACTAGCGGATGCTTGGAGAAGACTAGAATCTTCTTATGTAAAAATTATAAACATCCTGTCGTTTTTTTTTATTATGATTCCTACTTCTATCCAACCTTGTTATTTGGAATATAATTACGTTCCTGTTCAATCGTGTTCTAATTTGGGGACTTGTCGAATGAATTAGTGCTCAAGAATACTAAGCAATAAGAGTATCTGGGTCGTAATAGAAATCATAACATATAGTCAGTACAAAATTGTGTTGCTCAAGTTAATTACATGATGAACTATAGTTGAAATTGATTTGAAAATAAATTAGATGTAAAAGGAATAGTAGTTTGTTTTTCGCGTGAACAGAAAAAGCTACCTTGAGATGGAACGCAAAAGCATATGCAATACAAATATACTATGAAATTTTAAAATTTAGCTTGCAGTATTCCTTCAGAGAATAAGTTAACAGGGAATCATTATGTTGGTCAATTGATATTTTCCTCCCACAAATGGCATTCACTCCAATAGTGGGACAGATAGGGGATTATCTAAAAATGTAAAACCATAAATACTTCCCACGACACTCATTTTATACTCATGAGAAATTTGAAAGAATGTACCTTCGTGAACAAGTTGTACATGGTACCATAAACCTGATCTGGAGGTGAAAGTTCGGTCACAAGAAGAACATTTGAATATCTTTCCTGGAATGAAATAATGTAACCAAGATAAACAATTTAATAGATAACAGCTAAATCGTAAAATACAAGTGATACAAAGGATATGAAACGTGATACCATTTTAGGAAATATATTTGTTTATATGCCAATTAAACAATCATCTTTATAGGAAGTTAGGTATTGTTGGTGGTCATTTGTACTTGAATTTTTTTAAAGATGCATTCATGATTTAGTGAACTAAAAGCTTCAAGGTAATTAAATAAACAATAGGTAAATAATACTACCAAAGTAATAGCTTGGATGAGATGTTCGTAAAACTACACTAACTGACATGGTCGCAATATACCGTAGAACTATGAGGCCTGTGAATTGGAAGTAAGGTCAACAAATGATAACGGTTTGTGATCTATGTTAGGAATTATGTGAAGCGTGAATTAGTGTAAACCGCTCCGTTGAAAGAATGTAGAAAGAGTAGAAATAAATCTCAATATCTGGACCTCTCTCACATTGTTTTGTTAGAAGGTAAAGAAATTTAAACCAACGAATTAGTATAAAAATATTTAAATTGCCTAATTGGTCCTTTAACTAACAAGGTAAGTATCCTACCTAAATGATCACTTAACAATGCATTTTTCCGCTCCTTATCGATAACTTTATTATTAACGACTAATCAGTCGATAGATTTATAAGAATATGTCATACGATTAGCATTCCAGCGATAAAATAATTTAGGTATTACTCACTCACCGTAATCTTTGCCAAATTTGCGTTCACTCAGAACTGTGTGTTGTGGGAAAAAACTCTGAGATGAATTGCAAAGAAATTTTATATCTGTAAGAGAACATAAAAGTGTCGTATGATGTATGGTGGTAGGTATCAAACAAATACAGCATGTTTCGAAAACTAATGAGCAGATAATATTATGAAAAAGAGACAAACTAAGCAGGTCGGTTATTATTTTGTATCACTAAACTATAATACATATTAATAATAAAGTGGCGTATACATACCACCTTTATTTGATGAAAAGCTGACCGTTGGTGCGATCTTGACATGCTGGTCAGGCTCGCCTATCGTGATGAACCAACCGAGCAATATTAGCTGGAGCATATGTTCCCGTAGGTTCTACCATACCAGGCAGGTCGATTGGAGAACGGTAAAACTAAAAGCAGCAACTCAAGGTCTGAGGGCGAAGTCGTACTGCTGACTGTAGAGGGATCTCACAGCAGTAAGGCATTTCCCTCGGACAACCAGCATCTGCGGCGACGCTGCACCCTCACAAGGAAAGGAGGGATTAGGAAAGGTCAACTCTAAAAATGTCACACCTCACTTTAACTCACGGAGGGAGCTAACACGAAAACTACTCACAGAAAGGTCGCATGTGATCAACCTCAAGCAGTTGTCCCTTGGGCACCGTGGTCATGCTCTAAGGTAATTAATATAACCTTAAACCCAATTTCCTTAACAGGTACCTCCAGAAGAACCCTTTCCACAGTGTGGGCAACCGGGAAGTGACATCAGCTCTCATACACGTAACAACACACGACACCAAGTTGGTCGTAATCAAATCCTTCTGACACTTTCTAACAACTCTCTTATCTCCACGAATAAGCATTCTCACGTTCTTTTATCACCTCGCGCCGCTAATGCAAACGATTCGAGTACGCTGAACGTTAATCCCGGTCTCCTAAAACCACGCTCTCAACTACATATAGGAGCTTTTAACGTCCGAACAATATGCCAAATAGGATAACAGACTTACTTAGCTAGAACTTTAGAATCTCGCGCCATCGATGTATGCTGCGTCTTTGAAACACGCATACAGGATCCTAGTGTGGTCATTCACCTGACCTCATCTCGTCGAAACGGAGATCCGACGAGATACACCCTCCGTGTATCTGGCAACCGATGGCTAGTTCTCCTGGACTGGTAAGTGTAGGCATAGCACTAAGTACGAGGGCAGAATAAGCACTGTTAGAGTGGATCTTCATTAACAGTCGTCTATGTGCTTTTCGGCTAAACGGCTCCGTAAAAACTCGGAAGGATAGGGACACACGTCGTTGCCTTCTTGTCGTTTATGCCCAAGCTCCCACTGACTGCAGTCCGGATGAAGTAAAAGATGACTTTTACAGAAAGCTAAACGCTCAGACATAGTACTTGTAGCAGGTGACTTTAATGCCCAGTTAGGTAGCTTAAACCAAGCAGAAAGACATTTAGGTAGGTATTTTAGTATTCCGGCTCAGCGAACAGATAATAGTGATCGGATGCTGTAACTCTGCTCAGACGATCCTTTACTTTTAGCAAGCACTAATTCTAAGCACAAGGAGAGACATCGTCTAACATGGCCACCCCCTGCACCAAACCAACGATAGACTCAAATAGACCATCCTGCCATCAGTCATCGTTGGAGATGGTCGATAGAAGATTGTCGCTCATTTTGGACTCCGGTCATGCTTATACAAGCACGCATTTGCTTATGCTTCACTGGACGCAGAAAAACCACATTAAAAAGAACCATTAGATGTGAAGTCAGTGACGAGAAAGCTAAAAGTAGATTCCAGGAACAACTGAGGTCATACTTAGGTAGTTCTGAAAACGAGGCTGACCCAGATGTTCCTTGGACACATATACAAACAACTGTGGAACTGCACTGATAGTGTTGGGGACGTTAAATCCTCAGAACACACTTTGTAAAGGACCTAATTTGTAATTTTATTTAGAAAATTTGAATTTCTCTGATTTCGCGCCAAAGGCGCTCTTTTCACCTTCATGTCGTATTTTCCAATTGAAAGAACCTTAAATGCGATTGGTCCGTTGTGTCTTTTCGTATGCTATTTTGTAACTCTCCCCAAGGACGGTTTTGTGCCGTATATATACGTTTTGATTTGTGTTTGTTGTTATCACTCGTCTCTGGCTGTTTGTGGAATATAATTTACCATTTCAAGCTTGGACTTTTTCCTCTGGTTAGCGTGGCTGGGACGCATCAAATGGCTAGCTTATTGGTTTTGGTCACCGAGTCTTTGTTTCCGTTCGCAGTTTCAGTGAACTCGTAACCGCTTCAAACTTAGCAGATAGACGCTCGAAAACTAACCCCAACTGGCTCTGAACATGACGAAGATCGAAGTCAGCTTAAGCGCAGTAGCTGACTGACTGACCATTTGATGAAAAACTATTTACTTCAGCACATAAATCCCGGTATAATGGAGCACCGAAAATATACACATACGAAAGAACCAATAACAGCGTGAAAACATATTGGGGAGAAGAATAGTGAACAGAGATCATAACTTTTGAGTGTACAATCTAAGACACGCCCAAAAAACCTATTTCCATTTAAGAAAGCTTATTTCACCTTATGAAGCTTGCAATAATAAACCATAGCAGGATCGCCACTGGCTCCTATTCTGAACTATATTTGGAAGCGTCTGAATCCACTGAGTTTTACAATTGTGATGAACTGACAGATACTAGTCCCATAAAGTTACTTTTCATACTACAACAGTGCCATAAGCTGACCACCTCTCCACCTATTCTACGAAATCCCAGAGTCGACAAATAGTGCACGATATGGAGGTCGCTAGGGTGATATTCGTGAGACATATCCAAGCCACGAATGTCAATTTTCTAATATGACATCAATCAAATTGTCGTCACTGAGCTTAAATATACATTCATAGACCACGGGAATACGAACATGATGTTGTTATCGAATGTGGGCAAACCCTTGGAGATGATTAAACATAGGGAATTGCCGAATATCCTGAACTCAGTGCCAGATTTACAAGCCTAGAGTAGAACTACCCTCACAAACGCTTAGTAGACCGGAATTGATCTGTCAGTAGAGTAAACGTATGGCCATAAAGCATTTTATGGAATCTCTTGGCAGCGAAAATGATTGCAAGAGCTTCCTTTTCAATTTGATTGCAGTTTCGCTCGGCTGGGGTGAGTGATCTAGCAACATTGGCAATTGTCCTTTCTGAGATATCACTGTTCCAACTCCCTGACCAAATGTATCAGATGCAACAATTCCCAAGCTGGGATCGAAGTGTGTCAAAAGAAGCTTTGAGCTGAGGATTGATGTGACTCTGTCGAAAGATGCTTGGCATTCTGCTGACCACTACCAAGGTTTGTCTTTTGATAGTAATTCATTCAGGGGACCTATCGCTTGATGCATTCCGGGCAGGAATGTGCTGCAACGACTGGTCAACCCCATGAATGATCTTAATGAAGGGACATCAGTTGGTGCAGGGATATTCTGAATGGCTTCGATGTTGGCATGATCTGGTCGGCGACCGTTCTTATCTGAGATGAAACCAAGGTATTTGGTCGAATGCATGAAGATACACTTTTCTTCACGTAGTTGGAAACCATACTCCAACACACGGTTAAGGACCTGACAGGACCTGTCAGTTGAACCCATAACTATGATATCATCTAGATAAGCTGCCATACCAGGTATATCTGTTAACATTGTATCCATTATTGACTGAAAGATGGTAGGTGCGGACTTAATGCCAAATGGCAGACGGGTGTATTGAAATAACCCTCGATGAGTGTTAATGATCAGAAGCTCTCTGCTATTCTCATTTATTTCCACTTGCACATAGGCGTCGTAGAAGTCTATTTCCACAAAACATGTTGCATTATTAAGCTTGGCAAACAGGTCTTCAGGAACTGGTAACGGATATTGGTATACATCCAATGCAGCACATAAGCCGGTTGAAAAATCGGCACATCTGCGTATAGTTCCATTGGCCTTCCTAATCACTATGATGGGTTCGGTTTATGCAGAGTAGTTGACTAGTTGGATTACACCAGCTTGTTGCAAGCGATTAAATTCCCGATCGACTAATTCAAGAGCAACATATGGTACAGGACGTTTCGTACGAAAAATAGGTTTGGCACCTGGTTTCACTGGTAAATGAGCTTTCATCTTGGTACAGTGGCCAAGGTTATTCTGAAAAACAGAGGCGAACTTTCTCTGCAGTTTTTATAGTAACCTTTCACCTGTCTTTTTTGCAAGTACCGGGGTGTCCAATGATGAACACGACACAGTTAATGGGGACATCCATTATTCCAGGTTTTTCTAGCATATCTAGACCAAGAAGATAAGGTTTGGCCGTTCTGTTAGATATCATATTCCTGTACAGTTAGTTTCGTTGAAAGAAAATTAACACTTTAATTCACCAACCAGTTATAGCACACCCCCTGATGCATGTTTAGCAGTTTTCTTAGACGACCTCATTGGCGGTTTCCCAAGCTGGTTATACGTTTCTCTAGACACTAGGGTGATTTATTTGAACACATAAATATTGGTACAAGGGGGCACCAGATACATATGCGCCACACACACTGGGGTGATATCGGATGCCGTGTCAAGTTGAAGACGATTTAGTATGCCGTTAATCTGTATAGTAGCATAATTTCTCCGAATGTTACAGCCTTTTTGGAAGGCTGTTACCAGAGAAAAAGATTTAGATTCTGCTGATTTCACCACATGTCGAGGACGTTTATGTTTCTTCTTGAGCTGATTCGATGGACAATGATATTCTTTATGTTCACGTCTGTTGCACGCCTGACATTTATGCTTCTTAAATGGACAGAATTGTACATAATGCCAATCACCACATAGCCAAAAGGCAGACGTTGGTTTGTTACGAGTTGTTATCGGCTTCTGAACTTTTAACCTAGTAATATCATTGACACTGCAGGTTAAATTAGGATTTACCTGTTCAATCAACTCATTGTCGTGTCTGATGTTTTGTAGCCGCTCACATTCATCTGTCAATGTCCCGAGTGTGACGTTTGGATCTTGATGCAATCGAGTTAAA